GTCACCATGCTGGAGCGCAAGACTTAGGTTCAGGACTCATTCGAGTAATTCTAGTATTCCCGAAGTCTATTAATTCCCAAGAAAAGGCGCTCCTTGATTTGAATACTGTAGCACTCTTGTACTCGTTCTCAGCCATAACCTGAATCTTCCACCAATCACAGGTAATCTCGACACATCACGCGTTTAAGATTAGGTTGTGATTGGTGGTTGTGACCAGTCCACTTTTCGCCCATGCCGCAAAGAAAATAGGCAGTGGAGGCAAACACAATTTCAGATGCAATAGCTCTCTACTTCATGATTTTGTTGTACATTGCAGAGGCTGCACGCTCTCAAAAACTGCCTGCCAGATGGGTAAGTGTCCATAACCTACCGCTGATGGGAACTGTCGAGGTTAACGAGGACGAAGTCTCAATCGGTGCCGCAGTCAACATTACGGACTTTGTCAAATCACTGGAAAAGTATTGTGACCGATCGATTAGCACACCAATCAGAAAACTTTTCGACAAGTACTCTTCTATGCAAGTAATGAACGTAGCGGTAAGTCATTGGTTTTAGCTACTAATGCTATCGTGCACGGAAAATAGCCCTATTCTTTTGCAATAGTAAGCAGACTAACGCTTGACTTCACAAAAAAATGAGCGAAAAAATTGAATAATTAATAATAGATGACAATTCTGATAAACGAGTCAGAATCAGTTCAAGTGCATGCAAATCCGTGCCAATGATTTGAGAGTTAGTCACCTATCGGACCTAGAGCCCGCAAGAAAGCCACGTGGAGTCACATTCCTTGCACGTTTGCGAAAATCCCGCCCACAGCATTTCAAGCCACGCCCCGTGCCCGCGACTTCGTGCGATTATCTATAGGATGCGATTAATCGAGAAATTCTCTCCATTGTACTTCAGTTACGTCCTGCTGTAACCATATCACATCTATTGTGAGGAGAGGCCATCAAGTATCTGTGCACGATACATTCTGATGTACAAATATCGATTACCGTGAGATAATTCAGACTTGGGTTGGTGGCTTGTTCACAGGAGCAAGCGATACTCTGTCACTATTCATGGCTTTCAATCCAAAGCTGGTTGTCAGGGAGTTGGGAGGTGCTTTCACATCAGCACAATTCTCTGACTTCATGGATGACCAAGGCCGTATAAAGTTGAAAAGAGGTGCAGCCGTCGTTGCCACCATATTTCCGCGATCCCAGGTAAATTGCAATTATTCTATTTTGATGTTATACTTATCATTTTTATTTATTTTATTATATTTATTGTTTTATTATATTTCAGGTCTATCAGTTTCTTGTGCTGGAAACACCTGGAGTTGTCAGAAGGCCGGGGCTGTTTCTGGTCGTTTTCGCTAGTTAGTTGTTCCATTAATTGTGACCGCTCCCCGCCTTCCGATATTTCAGTGAGACGATTTGACGTTACGGGCCCAACCCACTCTAACACTCCTAGCACCTCGTTGCCGAACGATATCGTGTATATCAGCCCTTTTTTTTTTCTTTTCTGCGATTTAATAAACCAGTGGATTCCGACCTGGCCTTCCGCTGCCGGCCCGATCCTCCATTGCCTTCCGGGTGTGAAGCTGGTTCGCCGGCGAGAATTTTTCGCCAATGAGGGAGGGCCAGTCGGATCGGCCCGGCTTCGCCGGCCGATCCTCCTTCCGGGTGTGAAGTGGGTCCCGGCGAGAAGTTTTCCATGAGAGGAGAGGCCACCAGTCGGATCGGCCGGCTTCGCCGGCCATGCCTCCGCTTCCGGTGGAATGGGTCGGCGAGAAGTTTTTCCATGAAGTGGAGGCAGTCGATCGTGGCGCGGCTTCGCCGGCCGATCCCTCGCCTTCTCGGGTTGAAGTGGTCCTCGTCAAAAGTTTTCCATGAGAGGGAGGGCCAGTCGGATCGGCCGGCTTCGCCGGCCGATCCTCCTTCCGGGTGTGAAGTGGGTCCCGGCGAGAAGTTTTCCATGAGAGGGAGGGCCAGTCGGATCGGCCGGCTTCGCCGGCCGATCCTCCTTCCGGGTGTGAAGTGGGTCCCGGCGAGAAGTTTTCCATGAGAGGGAGGGGCCACGGTCGCAGATCGCCGTCCGGCTCGCCGCGCCGACTCCTCCTTCCGCGGTGGCTGAATGGGCTTCCCGCGAGAACAGTTTTCCATAGCAGCAGGGATGGGCCAGTCGTGCATCCGGCCGGCTTCTTCGCCGGCCGATCCTCCTTCCGGGTGTGAAGTGGGTCCCGGCGAGAAGTTTTCCATGAGAGGGAGGGCCAGTCGGATCGGCCGGCTTCGCCGGCCGATCCTCCTTCCGGGTGTGAAGTGGGTCCCGGCGAGAAGTTTTCCATGAGAGGGAGGGCCAGTCGGATCGGCCGGCTTCGCCGGCCGATCCTCCTTCCGGTGTGAAGTGGGTCCCGGTGAGAAGTTTTCCATGAGAGGGAGGGCCAGTCGGATCGGCCGGCTTCGCCGGCCGATCCTCCCTTCCGGTGTGAAGTGGGTCCGCGAAGTTTTCCATGAGAGGGAGGGCCAGTCGGATCGGCCGGCTTCGCCGGCCGATCCTCCTTCCGGGTGTGAAGTGGGTCCCGGCGAGAAGTTTTCCATGAGAGGGAGGGCCAGTCGGGACGGCCGGCTCGCCGGCGATCCTCCTTGCCCGGTGGACGGTCCGCGGCCGAGAATTTTTTCCCTGACTAGGGAGCGCAGTCGGATCGGCCCGCTTCGCCGGCCGCTCGCTCCTTCCGGGTGGAATTGGCCCGGCGAAACGTTTGCCAATCGAGAGGGCCAGGGCCAGTCGGATCGGCCGGCTTCGCCGTCCGATCCTCCTTCCGGTGTGAAGTGGGTCCCGGTGAGAAGTTTTCCATGAGAGGGAGGGCCAGTCGGATCGGCCAGGCCTTCGCCGCCGATCTCCTTCGGTGTGATGGGTCCCGGCGAGAAGTTTTCCATGAGAGGGAGGGCCAGTCGGATCGGCCGGCTTCGCCGGCCGATCCTCCTTCCGGGTGTGAAGTGGGTCCCGGCGAGAAGTTTTCCATGAGAGGGAGGGCCAGTCGGATCGGCCGGCTTCGCCGGCCGATCCTC